TAAACCTGAATCTGTGTCTAACCTAAACCCTGAAACCAGGTCTGAACCCTCCGAGGGTCCCAGTGGAAGGACGTGGCATCCTCGTAATGTGTTAATCTCCTCCTGTGGGCTTCAAACTGATCCCAGAACAGTCGTGTTGCAGTGCTATTTTACTTCATAAAGAAGCAGATAAAGAAATGGATCATTCTCAGTCTAATAAGACTGGTTCTACAGAGAGAAACAAAAGGTAAGCTCTGTGAGCTATCCGTCCTCGCTGGAGTGACAATCACAAACAAATCACAGCGAGGGTTCCAAGGAGTACACATTCTGGGAAATCCCCTCCGGAGCAGGAAGGGTGGGGTCATGCCAGGCAGCACGGGAAGGAGGAAGGGAATAAGTGGCTGACAGCGGGAACTCTGGGAAAGTTCAGCATTTCCCAGGAGAGGAGATTCTGACCAACTGAAGTCAGACCTCAGCAGCTACCAGAGAAACGGACACTGATCTCAACAAACACATGGAAACCTCCAACAACCCAAGTCTGAAGCTGTTCACAGGATCCTGAGATTCAAAGACACACAATAACAAAGAGATGCATAACAATTAAAGAGACACAAACGGAAAAAGCTAAGTGTAGTTGATGAATCTCAGGGCTCCTCTGTGTCATTTAACAGCCACTGGATCCTCTGAGATCGTTTCACACTCTGCCTGCAGAACCTGATTGTTTCAAAAACACCTTAAAGGAAATGAAAATGACAAATTTGGAGTCAGAATAATGCAAAACAAAGATGACAGAGAGACGCACTGGTCTTCTGAACAGAACTACTCCATCTACAGGTGGAAGCTTTTTGAAGAATGCATTTTAATGATGAGTTTATGGCAAAACACAGTGCCACTAAACACAGTTATGTGTAGTTTATGAGTGCGATTGTCTCAGGATGTCCTCTGGGTCATTTGACTGGAACACAGTCTCTCCCGTTTCTCACTCTGCCTGCAGAACTTTCCAGCATTGTTTCAAAACTCTTAAAGAAAATGAAAGCGAAGGCTTTCTACCTCCGGCTCCGTCCTTTCTGACGCTGGCGTGTCCAGCTGCTGCGAGCAGCAACACCACAGGCGCAGATAAGGGCAGAAAAGGGCTAAAAATAAAAACCCCAAAACCAGAGTGGAGCTTTGGTCTGCTGGGATGAAAACAGCTACAAACACAGAAGTGTTCAGTGAACCGCCGAGAGGCTCGGAAGACCATTTTAAACAACCATCGTGCCCAAAGCCAAGACACAGTCAGCAACAATAAATAATCAGCCACACGCAGAGCAAGAGTGCAGATGAGGTGGATCCGCTCAGTTTGAGCTGCTTCACGTTGTCTGTATTCACTGGTGTACACCACTCTGGAAAGGTTTTAAGTAACAACCACAGGGAGGCTTTTAGACCGCGACGTGAACGCAAACACACAACTAAATTTCCATTTACACCACATCAGGATCGAACTGTAGAAATAAATAATAATAATAATAATAATAATAATAATAATAAAAAATTGCATTGATATAGCGCTTTTCGGGGCCCTCAAAGCACTTTACAATACCACTATTCATTCACTCTCACATTCACACACTGGTGGAGGCAGCTACAGGTGTAGCCACAGCTGCCCTGGGGCAGACTGACAGAAGCGAGGCTGCCATATTGCACCATCGGCCCCTCTGACCATCACCAGTAGGCAACAGGTGAAGTGTCTTGCCAAAGGACACAACGACCGAGCCGGGGATCGAACCGGCAACCTTCCGATTACAAGACGAGCGCCCAACTCTTTGACGATACCCACAGATTTATTTTACACAAACTGCTCTGGTGTATAAACAGACACTGTCCTCATTTTAACATGGACAACCCCCGCCTAATATGCATTTACTTCTTTGCATATACGTCATTCTCATATTGAAATATTGACGTCCGTAATATCGTCCTCAGGAAGTTCTCTTAAAGACAGTGGAGCCAAAACTGCTTATTTCAGACAGAATGAACTGATAGGTTCAGTATAAAATAAAGTTTTATTTTATTTTATTTATGAGTAGCAAAGTATGCAAAGCTACTATATACTAGTCAGCGACTAAAAATATAAAGCTGGAAACCGGGACAACGGGTCCCCAAATGTGTTCCTGACAGACAGACAGCAAATACAACAAAGTGACCAACAATAAAAGCAGGTGGTGCAGATCTCTTATACATGTCCTTATATGCCCTCATTTAATGTTCATGTTTCTTTTTTCCACTTGAAAACCAGAAAGTGAGAGCCAATCAGAAAGTTAATTTAAAGTGGGCGGGGCTAAACTGGCTCATTTCAGACAAAGGATGAACTCAGAGCAAGGCCCAATGTAAGATGATTAAGGAGGATTATGATCTGCGACTCATGCAGAGCTATTTTAGTAGGGCCCTCTAATAGCGTTACATAAATGACTCACAATTAAACAACATGACTAAGAAGAAAAAGCCAGCTGGTGTCCAGAGATGAGACTCATTAACCTGCAGAACCCAGAGAGCCGGTCTTTAAACGATCAGCAGCAGGCTGAAGCACTTTAAACCGCGCTCTCCGTTTATAAACAACAACAAACAATAGAGTATAAATAGATCACTCAGCCTCTTTGTTTACAAACAATAAAAAGTTAAATATTTGCAGGCTCTGCCCCTCGCTGAGCTCCTCGGGGATTTCTGATGATTACCAGTCATGAGCCGGTCTATGAGCCGTTCAGCACGCAGCCACACCCAGCATGCACCTGCTGCAGCCCGGTGGCTGTGTTTGATTTGGATCCATCAGTGTGTGCACCGGATGGTGCGCTGGCAGCGATTAATTAGAGGAAGGCACAACAGTTTCTTTAAACTTATGCCAAGCTAATGCCTCAAAATGTGCCTTCCTTTACTCTGTGCTTGCCCCCCCACCACATCCTGATAGTCCGCGCCAGGTCGTCTTTAAGTCTGCGAGTAGGTGTGTCACTTCCATCACGGTGCTGACAGATGAGAAACCTTAAAGTTTAAAACTTATAATATCTGATAGCTTTGAGGAAAATAAAACAAACAGGTTTGATCATGCTGACCACCAACAGGAACAGCAGGCTTCATATTACAGGTCTCATGCTTAGGTCTGCTCCACGTGACTGTGGAGGTTTAAAACTGGTACAACAACACCCCTGACAGAGGTCAGAGGTCACAGAAGGAATATAACCAGACACGCAGTGAGTAGAGGAAACGAGAGCAAAGGGAAGCTTTTAGAGATGGCATGAAAAGGTAAATCAAAGCACAGGATGTACAGAAAGTGCTAATACTGCCGTGACTGATAACTGATTCGCTTCACCTCGCGCTTTCCCAGTGAGCTCAGATGTAAACTGGTTTATGTGAAAACATTTAAATAAATCAGAGGGGTAGACTGATGTTCAACACAGCCAGGCTCTCCTTGTGTTAGCTGGCTCGACAAAACCTAAAATCATATAACGGTGCGATGATAGTGGTTATCATCTTTCTCTGCTAATCCCTGCATCCTGGGTGGCTGTAGCCCAGGAGGCGGAGCAGGTCATCTGCTAATCAGAAGGTTGGTGGGTTGATTTGATCCAGTCTGCGTGCCAAATATCCTTGGACAAGATGCTAACCCAGAGTTACTACAAATGTGTGAATGTTAGATAGAAAGCACTGGCATAGAAAAAGTCTATAAAGAACATAAAAATAAAAATGTAACACTGCTGCAAATAAGACGAGAGGTTCATACTGCAGAAAATCATCAATCTGGTGATTACAGAGTTGCACAGAGCAGATAAAAAAACAACTTTTAATTCGAGGCAAACACTCCCACTGGTGACGGCTAAAACTTAATATTTAAATGGATCCAGTTTAAACTTGCTGTCCTGCAGCCTAATAAAGGAGATGACTGCACAGGTGTTCCTGATGGTTTCTGTGATTTCAGCAGCGTGAAAGCGATGAAGAGTTTAATTTTATGCACAGAATAAGTATCAGAACATTTAAATACTTCCTGCATCACCAACTCCGTACATGCACAGCTCACTGACAAGTTTGCACTCTAAGTTTATAGCTGGTGCCATGTTAGTAAGGTACAGGTGAAATGGAAAGCCTGAAGATAACCTGATCCCAACCAGCTCCTGCATTCAGCGCGAGTTACCACAGGGATCTAAGACGGTAAAAACCACAGAAAGCTCCGACTTTAACCTCGACATGACTCGCGATAGCATTACTCTCGCTTGTCAAATACACTCCCCGGGACTGAAACGAGACAAGCAGGAGCCACGACGTCATTCAGTTTCTGAAGATGAAATCGGCGATAAACGAGGCTGCTGTGAGGAAACCGCTGGATGAAATGAGTGATATCATCAGGAGATCCACAATATTTCCTAACATAGTCCTGACACTCTTCAACATGCCCGCGCTCCTCCTCCTGTTGTAAACGTAACCAGGACGAGTCCGGACAGGAGCTCGTCTTCTCAAGCCGATCCGTTTCCATGGAAACCTCAATGGGAGATTTTTTTCTGGTCTTAAAAATTCTGCAGTGTCAGACTTTAGTTGGAGCTCGCCTGAAGTGAGAAGAGTCATGCTAATCCTGTCTTACTCACATTTACATGCAGCAGTGAGCTCCCTGTGGGGTCAGTCTGCAGGAAACTACATTTCCCAAAATGCACTTAAAACCATGAAGCTTTTAAAGACTTTCAGCCTTCCAGCAGCCTGCTCAGAGGACACCTCTGATCCCTGTAAACAAGCTTCAGAGGAGCTACTGCTAACCTTTCCCGATGTTCAGCACCTTCAACAAAAAACAACAGCCGAGTAAAACTCTAAACCTGAGCTCCACTTCATGTGGAGAAAGTAACCGCTGTATTTTCTAAGCTGCAGACTCAGAGGGAGGAAATCCTCCCAGCTGAGTGCAACACGTCATCGTGGTGGAAGATGGCGAGAGTTTCCCCTGAGTCATCACTCCTGTGCTGCAGGAGAGGACGGAGGGAAAAAGTAAAGCAGAAGACTGAGGACATAATTACCCAGGATGGAGTGAACACGAACAGAGAGCTGAGTCCTCAGAATCAGGATGGGCTTCCTTCCTTTCCTGTAGAAAAATAAGAAACCGTTTGAGTTCAGAACAAAAAACAGTCACGACTCAGAGTTCAGGTTCAGTCAGAGCAGCCAGCTCCGTGACAGACATCTAACCAGATTAACTTTTGTGTAATCGAATCATCGTACGAGAGGGACATGGCACTCAAAGAGTCCCGAGTTGGCATATTTGAGAGAACACAGAGTCAGTAAAGACGATGGAAGAAGAACCTCCAAAGTGGGTTTTATCAGATCTGAGTGCAGTTTTCACAAAGACTTGCTTCTACAAGGAGTCCTGATCCACTGTCAGTGTGATCAGTGTGTGCAGACAGCTGGTCTGAGGTGATCCCAGAACAGCTAAGTTTCCACATACAGTCAGACTGCGGCATGCTGGGATTAGAGTATGGAAAGAACGACAGCATGAAGGTATGGAAAGAATGAGAGCGAGAAAGAAGGAGAAACGGGAGAAGGGAAGATGTAAAGGTGGGCGTGTTTGTCTGGAGGCTAAAAGAGGAATACGTTTTTCAGACGCTCTTACAGCATCGCACAGAGTTTACACTGCTGGACACACACAGTCACCAAGCAGCTATAATGTGTTTCAGTTCCACATCACTGAAATGAATGTGATTCTTCACAGAAAGAAGATCCAGTCTGAGGCCTGGATTTGAACCCAGATACTCCAGCTTCCTCCCACAGTCCAAAGACCTGCATCGGGCTAGGAAGACCAACCATAGGTGTGCAGGGTTATCTGTGCACTTTAGTCCTGTGACAGACTGACCTGTCCAGGGTGTCCCGGGCCTCCTGCCCTGTGACAGCTATGATAGGCTCAACCGCCTCCTAACCCTGAATGGGATAAGTGGAAGAAAACTTATCCCACTAATTCTACTTCTTTTACTCCTTTTATGCATTATTTTGATTATTCATATTTCTATTACCTCTACCAAGGAAGTTGTGTTTTTGGTGCTCCTGTCTGTAGACACGAAGTTTTGATCAGTGATGAGCGGGGTCATGTTAACAATTGATTAAAAAAATGGCTTCCATCCCCCGAGGTCTTTGTGGTTAACTTCATGATTTATTGGCTGAAAATTGACGACAACTTACAAGCGTGCTGTCTGTTGGCAACATGTGAAAAGTATAAATTTAAAATATCACCTTCAAGGTCAACAGATGGATCCGAAGGTCAAAGTGATGATGCCATACAGAGTGATTTAAACCCATGTTTCTGACTCAGACAACGTTTACATGCACAGGGATTCTAAATATCACTCTGGACCTCTGAGCTTCAGATGTATATTTTAAAATTGTTATTATTTTTATATAAAATAAAATAGCAATCATCTTTAATAATTAAATTTAAAATGGTACTTCCTGTGATCTCACTTTCACATTTCACACCTGCCTTTTTTAACCCCCCAGAATGTTTTACACCTTTAAAGACAGTGTTGGCAAGAGTGTATAGTATATACAGCATAAGCTCAAATTATTCCAGTGCATCTTAGCTGATGTCACAATTGGGCATCATCGTTATACTCTGAGGCACGTACGTTTTTGGGCAGCCGGTCAGTATGAAGCCGCCGCCTGCAGCGAGCAAAGTGTTTAAAGCGCCCGACGACAAAAACTGTTTTCACTTATTTATCACTAAACGTTGTGGAGATACAGAAATTCTTTTATTGCTGCCATATAATCTGCATCATTATAACTGCATTGATAACATTCTTTACAGCATTATTTCATGTAATAATATTTCTCACAGTATTGATACTGCATTACAGTTGTTTATTGAAGATGTTCATATGAGGATCCTTCCATTATGTTAACTTTTATTACAAGTACGGTTGGAAGTATTTTATACACATTGCATATCTGTGCTTACTTTGAGTTGATGTTCAGTTCATTAAGGGTTTTAAGCTTCACTGGCGTGACTTTCCAAGTGATACATGCTGAGGGAAACTAGAACATAGAAGGATAACTGCAATGCATGCTTACAGTACATGTATATAATTTAGGAATGTGTCAGGCCTGAGGCCTTAACCCATTTGGAGTCTTACTATATTTTACTTTACTTGGCAACAGATGATCAGAGTCAATAATCAGCCTCAGAGACCCTGAGGGCTTGAAGTTTTATTACCTTGTATGGAAGGTGTTACAGAAAAGAGAAGTTCTATGTCTGCTTATAGCTATTAAAGACGTACAAGATGTACGATTAACTGTGACTAATGTCGCGTGTACCCCACTGCTTTATAAGTGTCCACCACATGCATTTTGGTCAGAAGACATATGTTGATGTTTTCTCCGGGCTGTTTGATTGCACTTTTCTGGGGCCTCCGTGGTTTGTGACACTGCTCTGCATTGATCGATTTCGCGACAACGTGTAAACAACTTTTACTAAACAATCAATGTTACACATGTACTATATGAACATAATTAAAATGAATAATAACAATAGTACTTTAAATTACATAAAGTGTATTATAATGAGTAATGGTAAACTACTATTGTTTTATAATAAGGATAAAAATGTGCTTTGTCTTTATTTTAACTTGGCTATTTTTCCCCATATAATTTTTTATTTTATTTTAATACTTGAGTATGTTGTTGACAGCGTTCGTCTTGGTCTGTGTGGGTCCAGTGCTTCTTTTCTCTGTTTGTGGGGTTACAAGGACGGCATGTCTCTGCATGACATGTTTGGCTGCAGTCATGTTCCCAATAAACACACACACACACACACACACACACACACACACACACACACACACTAAAGCTTTTCTTACGCCACATCTTCGTAGAAGCTCTCCAGCTCGTCTCGCTGCTCAGCCAGAGAAGAGTCCAGGTCCAGATAGTTTCCACTGGGAGACAGCTGGAGGGTGCAGTCTTCCAGCTGATGGACACACAGACAGAGACATATGTGAAGATCAAGTTTAACCAATGCTGAATCACGACAGAGCTCAGCTGTGAACAGATTTGTTTGTGTGTGAAAAGCCGAGGCAGAGCGAGGGACACCGATCTCTGGTGTCAGTAGAAACCGATCCTGCAGCCGCTGCTGCAAACAAACAAAACTGACTCGACCGGTTTAGCCGATGAGGTCTGTGGATCTTTGCCTCTATATTCATGTGGGAGAAAGTAATCTGCCCGGATACTGGCTAATCTGGATGAGTCTCACACTAAAGCTGCACCCAGATTTCTAAAGGATCATCCAGCCTCATAAAGCTGAAGACATTTTGAGATTTGGTAACTAATGCGAGGACACCTGCTGTCCGAATAAATCACAGACTGAAAACAGTCACATTTATGGCAAATACAACAAGATGCAACAATCCTCCAATATCAGGAGTCACACTTTATGCAAAAACTCACCAAAATTTAAGCCACCAACTTCAATTAGCTGATCAATAACAGATTTTCTGGACGATTGATTCATGCATTTATTTACAGCACAGTGTAGGACAGCTGTAGATCCGATGCTTGGCTGCAACTTCTATTTTGTGTCAACTCTAAAGCCACAGGACAAGAAAAACTCCTGACGTTGATTTACTCCAGGATCACATCGATCCATGTTGTCCTGCGTCAGAGAGAAATGCCATTTATACTTCAATATATTTATTATATTCTTGTTAAAAACAATGGAGTCCCGGTGTATCAATGTAATGTAATGAGACACAATGCTGTCAGATTCAACAGCGGCAGAAAACACTCGACTGTTGTGCCGATGCTTTAGCTCAAACAAATGCGATTCCTCCACCGTCGTTTCTGCACAACGCCCGATTTTACTGAATTTACATGACATGTAAATCTTCTGGCTGACTGGAAAAATAAAGACAAAGCGAATTATCAAGAATTAACCACGACCATTATAAAGCAGGACCGTATAACAACTCTATTGTACTTGTATATAAATAATTCATAACAATGGGCATCTCAGGACACTTTATATTATAGGAAGGTACCGATCCAACATCGTTCAACAGACGTAGTGGTTCAGTGGGAGAAACGTTTCATCACTGATCCGAGTGCTTTGTTCAGTCTCAGCTGACTGCAGGTTTCCAACCTTATAAACAGGACATTCGCACAATGACTGAAACCAGCCCCTCACTTGGCTCAGTGACGAAACGTTTCTCCCACTGAAAACGTTACGTCTGGATGAACAGAATCAACTTTTTGGGATTTATTTACATGGATTATTGAGTACGCTTCAAGACATTATTCAACACAACTCCTTTACTTACGCGCCTAGAGGAGCGTAAGTAAAGGAGAGTTTAGGGCAGGGGTGGGCAATCTCAGTCCACGAGGGCCGGTGTCCCTGCAGGTTTTAGATGTGTCCTCGAACCAACACAGCAGATTTAAATGGCTAAATTAGCTCCTCAACATGTCTTGAAGTTCTCCAGAGGCCTGGTAACGAACTAATCCTGTGATTCAGGTGTGTTGACCCAAGGTGAGATCTAAAACCTGCAGGACACCGGCCCTCGTGGACTGATATTGCCCACCCCTGGTTTAGCTTCCTATTCTACTTTTCATCACTAAGAACCACAAGAAAGCCCACAGTCTGAAACTGAACAGCCATGTAGGGAAATGTAGGAATAATATGACGCTAATAGGTCTTTAATATTACCGTTTCATAACTCACGAGTAGTTTTCCAGAATGTAAATGATAACATTAGAGACACGGGAGGTTTCTAATTTTTTATAGCAAGCAGTCATGCATATTTGTTTAATGTGTTTGTTGAAGGAGACACTGATTAAAGTGACTCAAAGGTTCCTTGCAGTGTTAACAGAGGCCAGTGTAATGCCATCAGATTAGTCAATGTGTTTCTGAGGTTAAATACAGTAACTTCAATTTAATCTGAGTTTAGCAGCAGGAAACAGGAGTCATCTCGCCCTTTGTCTTTAAAACATGACTGCAATTTAACTGACTCGTGTATCTGGTTGTATTGCTAAATATAACTAGGCATTACCTGCAGAACAATGGAAATGCACGCAGTGCTTTCATGTTATACATTCTTCCCTTTGGCAGTGAAAATAATTGGTCCCAGCACAGAACCCTGGGGAACTCCATGACTAACCTCTGAGTGAAGAAGGCGCGCCATCCAAATAACTTTGATTTTTATTATTGAAACTGGAACACATTCAGAAAAATCCATGTAATCTGTAATAAAACCGACTGCTTCATGCAAACAAAGTTGGTTTAGGCTGAGAGAAGCTAATTAGTAACCTTCGCTGCTGTAAATGTTTTACAGTCATTTCTAAAGCTGGAGCTGGTGTGTGACATTTGTGCTGTTGGATAATCGTACAGTTATTCAGCCGTCGTACCGTCAGCTGTAAAACATGAATGCTGCTCGTGTCAGACGTTATTCTTTTTATTTTAGAAATGGCTGTTTAACCCCTCCCTCCTTTTGTATCTGTGGTTTCTATACTTTCACTGATTTTATTTACATGTGACAGAAAGTTGCTTTAAAAAACCGATCCAACAGGTCACACACGCTCTGGGTTTTCTGGGGCAGTATGCAACAGGAATGTGTTTTTTTACTCTCTCAAACAGTAAACAGGGTCTGATCCACATCAGCTTCATGTCTATTTATAGCCGCCCTGCTCGGCCTGGCAGCATGTTTGTAGCAGAGCCATGGCCAGGTACAATAATCAGTTATCAAACACATCAGGTCTGCTTTTGAGTGTCAGACTCTAGACCTGCAGGTCCACATTCTTCCTCTCCAACAACACAGATCCTTCCCGTCAGCCTGGAGCTGCACGGAGGAGGCGGAGGAGGCTCACCTCCACATTTTTAACTGATGGTGTAACTGCAGGTCACGTGGTTGTTCGTGGATTTACATTTTCTTCGCTATAATTTTCAGTAAGGATTTAAAGAAGACAGTGACCATAAAAGCAGCTCCAAACATCCCTCTGACTCAATCTGCACATTTTCAGGTTTAACTAATCTTACATCTGAGTCTACAAAAACCTTCCTTTTCTGTGAAAAGTTTGTTGAGTTTGCACTCACATTTTATACCGAGTAGTCTAAGGAGCTGGGGAAAAAAGCATCTGGACTGCTTTAAGTTTCTTGAAGACGTTTCATCCAAGAAGCTTCTTTAGTTCTAAAACCAATTTGTTGCAAATCCCAGATTATTAAGGCCTACTGGGAGTGTCCCTAAGAGGGTTGTTGACCGACTATTGATCATCTGAGTCAGGTGTGGAAATGGGTGTAGGTCATTATCAGCCAAGGTTTCAGGCTAACCCATAGTGAGACCACGCCCCACCCTGTCATGTGATCTATTGAGATCAAATGGCCCAGGATGTGAGTGGGCATTAAGGCGTCTGGGAAGGATCTCAAAACTGGATTATAGATGGCACAGTGGGTGTCATAAGCCCCGCCCTCTGTTCAAAGATGGTTGTTCACAGTGGAAATAGATGCTTCTTTCACTCCTCTTTCAAACCATCTGTCTTCTCTGTCCAAAATGTAAACATTGGTATCCTCAAAAGAGTGACCTTTGACCTTTATGTGCAAACTGAAGAAGCTGCTTCTCGCATGAGAGGTGAAATGTCTTCAAGAAACTTCAGTCCAGTCGCTTTTCTTTCCAAGCTCCTTAGATCACCAAGACCTGGATACTAAGAACCTTCAGACTGAGAGCTTTTCTAGTCTTACCGACCACTCAAGGCGCTTTAACACCAAGTCACATTTGAACCACAGAGCACATCTACCTCACATGGTAATCTAGAATCTCCAGTTAAGCTAACAAGTGTTTGGACCGTAGGAGGAAGCTGGAGTACAGACACAGGAAGCACACACCGACTCTCCATCTCACCAGGATTCTGCCCAAATAAAGGAGTTCGGCTGTGAGTGTTAGTATTTTACGGTGATCTCCATGAAGTGGGGACAAAATGGTTAAAAATGTTTTTTAACCTAACATCTTAGAGTGGACAGGAATGGCTTAAACACATACGCACGTTGTGGCGCCTTCCTCCTCCAACTTCCCCCCCTCTTGGTCCTCATTGATTAGCATCCTATTGACCCACTGGGTCAAAATGTAGATGCTTCCGTTATGCAGAACTGTGTCATCACTGTATTTATTATTTTGCAAAACCAAACAGGAAAGGTTGAAGAACATCCACCTTTTCTAATTTGAATCAGCTGGATTAGATGCCCTGCTACAAACTCTGAGGACAGAGACGGTAACCGTGCAAAGGATTCACTCCGAGCACGAGTGTGTGTTCTTGGGCTGCACAATTAGTCAAATCTAAATCTCAATCACAATTTTGGCTTCCCACAATTAAACTAAATACTAAAAAGCGTGCTCTGACAGCTGTTCCCTTTTCCAGTCTGTATGAGTAACAAATGTTAAAAGACAGATTTACAACATCCTGTCAAAACAAACATCAAATGTCTGACACAGCAGGAAGTGAAGAGCTTGCCTCCTGAAGGGGATCATCATCCATTGTTTGGAATTACTTCAGATTTGGGGCAAGTGACGTTAACCTGGAAAGAATCACATACAAAGAGTGCTGCAGAGTTGTAACACAAATAACACACAACTGCCTGAAAACACAATGCAGTGGTTGCAAATGCGCCTCGTCCAACATCAGCTCAGACGAGTCTGTACAGCGCATCGGCCTATCAGCGCATCCATCCAGCTCCCACCAGCCAATCACATTTGACTTGATTCTAGATAAGAGTCCAGTAAACACGGGGAGTAACGAAGGCTTTGGGAAGACGTTGAGCTGATTGGACGCCTGATACGTTATCCTCTCTCTGTTCATTTGTGGCAACAGCTGACAGGGGAAATTAGAAGAGGCCCCTCAGCTGTTTTGTTCACATTCATCGTGCAGGTACAACAAATGGAGTGAAACCTTTACCAGGACACGCTCTCATGCCAGGTCAATAAACACCTCGTCTGTCTGCAAAGAAGTTCTAATTGACAGGAACGTACCATGACAGAAAAGTGAAAGTGGTGCCCGGATGACTTTGTGTTTTATTTAATTTATGAATTGTATTAGAGCAGTTGTCTGTCTGAACTGGTTTGGTTGAGGAGAAAGAGGAGAAGGCGAGACGTCACGCACTGCCTAAACTAAATGAAGTATTTCCAGTAATGACAAAACATATGTGGAGAATCTTGTGCCGTGTGTGCTGAATGCAAGACGGGACAAACTCAGACGGTTTCCCGCGACACTGTCCGGAGATCATGTGCAAACAGCTTTACACTCGATTTAAATAAACACTGCTGCTAATTTACTTTGATCCTCTTTAAAGCCGACACTGAGCGTATGAAACAAAACTCATCAACAGACTGTTTGTGCAACTGCTGCCTACAAATTTTAGGAAGGAAAAGCCTGTTCAGCTCTTATCAACACATTGCTCTTAGTATTACATCCGTCCATGCATCCATCCGAGCTTATCTGCTGTTTACAGGTCCCACCCTTTTCCTCCAAAAACCAGGCAGTGAAGCAGGAGGACAGCGATGAAATAGAACCAGCTTCGTGCAGCACAGCAGATGTAATGGCTGTGTACCATTCTCACTATCTCACTGAATCTATCAAGGAGGCGGGGAGCTGCCTCAGGTCGAGCCCTGGGGCAAGATGGGAACAATTAGGGGGTCAGTGGAGGAATGTAATCTATAGGGACTAGCGTTCTCTGGTGCTTATCTGATGCTCGAAATTCCAGCCGGGCTCCGGCCGCCTCGCGGCAGGCTGGTGTCGGGCTCACATGATGGCTATGAATCTTTGAAACAGAACTTCCTTTTTTAGAAAGTGAGAAATCAGCACTAGTGTTTCACAGAAACAGTGCAGAACATGTTCAAACAAAGACTGCTGAGGAATGATTGCTTCATCCTTCTTTTAATAACTGCAGAGGGAAAAAGAGCAAAATGTGACGTCAATAAGATGGATGAAGGCAAAACTTTAAATCATACCGCTGTAACTTTTCAACTATTAGCAATAATACATATCTGAAAGTCTGTACCTGGCAGCTCACACGGATATTTCTATTGTTTTTGTGCGCAGCGCTGTAACGTCTCACCTTCCAAACCCAAATCACTATTGAATGCTCGTAGTTACTGTAGTCTGATTACTGTCTAAAGCGGCACAGTTACATTTCTTCTACATTCTTTTGAGCATTAACGGAAACATGAGGAGTTTCTCAGTTTGAACAAGTGTGGCTCTAAAGCCTCCATCAGCTCCTAGAAGTTACGGGTCCCGTTTCCTTGTCTGCAGCTATGACCACGGTAGCTCGAGGCTGAAGCTTGTGAGAGCTTTTGATCGCTTGAGAGCTGGAAATTTTTCCTGGAAAACTACTTGTGCATTTATGGCAGTCAGGTTAAGACAGATGAGGGAACCATGAGATTCATCATCAGTAAATTGCTCTTGTGACGCTGACTGGATGGACTAACCATTAAAACATCTTCAGATATGTCATCGTCATGCTTCGGTTTCACTGTTAAAGCTGTGTTTGCACTGCAGGGACTAGGAGGCTTTGGAAGAGCTCAGTGTGTTTCCACTGCCGGGACTCTGTTCTTCACTGGCAAAGAAACCGCTTTACAAAATAAATGTCTGAAGGAATTATTATCTTAAGGTTCTGGAACTTTTTGGGTCAGCCTTGCAGCTCGAAACGCTCCTGATTGGTGCTCACCACTATTATTAAAAATAAAAAAAATGTAGTTGTTGCTAATGCGTTTGTTTACTATGCTGTGGCCTTAGAGCAGCATGCCAAACATGGACTGAAAATAAGGTGTAGTAGAGTCGTGCACAAAAATGACATGTGTGACTCATCTGGAGCACAAATGCAGAGAACTAAAGGCCAAAGGTGAACAAGGCTCCTGGGACTAAAGGTTGTGAGTACACTGGGTTTCATGGCAACTTCCATTCTTTTGTGTTAACACCAGATGAAACAAGGTCTAAATTAAGCGCCAAGTTTTACCTCCAAATAATTCCTGATCCAACTTTCTTTCATAAGTACATGCAGCTTCCTGCCAGGGCTTGCAGCTCTGAACATTTCTGACTGGTTCAGTTATTTGGAGTTTTTTCAACTATTTTTTCAAAGACCATTAAAAAAAAAAAAAAAAAAAAAAAAAATACTAAAACTACAACATGGAGTTACAAAAGACAGATGGAAATGACCACACAGTCCAAGCTTCATTAGGCTGTAACAGTGAAGAAGAAATGCACGGGTACAGACAGTTGTGAGCAGCTCTTGGTGTGTGAAAATAATGCAACTTTAATTCAATTCCAATTAAATGCAGTGGAACTTTATATAGCATCAAACAACACCTCAAGGTGCTTTATTTTTAAAAGGTAAAGACCCTAAAACAATAGAGAGAAAACTGGCAACCCATTATGAGCACGCATTTGGCGACTGTGGGAAGGAAAAACTCCCTTTTAACAGGAAGAAACCATCAGCAGAACCGGGCTCAGGGTTCTGCTGCGAATAAAATACTTATTATAAATACCTGTGAAAAAAAACCCTTTAAAAATTAAATAAAGACAGAATGTGAAGGAAAAAGATGCTTGTTTATGTACAAGGCTGCACTTTAGTGTAACACCACTTTTCACCACAAGGTCGTAAAACGAGTGTATCTCTTTTAACCAAACACGTAACTAAGAAGACATAAGGGTCTGGAAAAAAGGCTGCGCTAAAATAAATAAATAAATATTTGACTTGTAATAAACTCCTCCTGACAGTGGACTAATTAAAACGTGTAGAGTGTCATTACAAAAGGCAGCTTTAAAAACAGCCCTTGCTTTTCTTGATAAGTCAGGTAAATAATAACGTTCTCAAGGAGCTTTAGTACGAGTGAAATCAAAGATGGCAACTTTAGCTTCTTGGAAATTTTGTGGAAATTAGGTTCGTGTACAGCGGTTGTCATGAAAACCATCCAGCCTCAGAGAAATCGCTGCTCTGAAGTTAGCCTGTAAGTTTCCACAGCTTCATAATGCTACCTAATGTCAGACAGTCCCACAACACTGGCACCATCAGGGCTCACTGAATTATAACACTGCTGCTAATCTTCATTTAACAGGCTGCAATTAAAAGCTTCTTGTATTACAGCCCATCGTAAACTCTGTAGCCAAAAGTCATTTAGATGTTTCTGACAGTCGCCCATTAAAATTAACCTCATTTCATTTTGACGCTTAAACCAGACGCCGCTTTTGTCAGCAATGTTACGCAATCACTTTATTGTGCCGTGTACTTCAGACCATCAGAACTGTGGAATGTGTGCTTACATGTAACATGACTAACTGCAGTGTAACAGCATGCTGACATAATGCTGAGTGAGCCTGAGTGACATGACGCTGCAGTCACTTCCTGTTTGGAAAAACAGACTCCTTAGCACAAAGAAGCATCATTAGTCACCCAAGCAACAGGAAACAGGACCACGAAGCTTATTCCGCTTTTCCAAACAACGACGCATTAAATTCACCATTTTCAGCCACATTTTCAGCTCCCTGACAGAATGGACCATTGAGAAGCGGAGCAACACGACTTCTCACAATAATTTCATGAGGCAAAACTGCACATACATAGCTTCAAAGGGCAGGAAGACTACTTCTTCATTTTGAATCAATCCAGTTTTATTTATACAGTCCCTGTTCACAACAATCACCTGCAGACACTTCCCAGTGATACAAATGTTCAGAAGATCCAGTATGAGCAGCACTTTGTGACAGTGGGGAGGAAGAACTTCCTTTAAACAGGAAGAGACCCTTAAGGTCTGCCTCCCATTCTACTTTCAGAAAAGCAGGAACCACAAGTAAGCCTGCAGGCTGAATAATATTATTCTATGAGGTCTTTACAATATGACACGGCGTGATCATTCGGTTTGAGAGGGAAATAATAGGACACAAGTCCCCCCACAGCTTTCAGGCATTAAATGAAGATGACATAAAATGGTCTTTTTGATGAAAGACAAACGATTTGGTCTTAAACCCGTGATGAACACAGAGTCAGCAGGGTTCACCCTTTAGGGAAGATAACCAAGTGTACAAAATGTTGTTGACATTTCAGTCTGAGCGCACAGGGTGCTGAGTGTTTTGGTTTTTTCCTTTGAGACTTCCCGGTGGGGTCATTCAGGTCTACCTTCTGTCCCCGAAATAAACCTGGAGTTACAGTTCGTTAATTTAACCTTTTCCACTTAGCTTACCTTCACTGCACCTGCACTTATTCAGTTCCTAACCTTTCATCTTTCTGAAGGCACATTATGCAGTTTTATATTGCCTTCTGCCCCTTTTCCATCTCGATTAAACAGACGGCTTTATTTTGTCTCAGGGTGCTGCTGAATGCCTCTGCTGTGAAAATAACCCTGCAGTGACGTTAAGCCTTATTGATTATGTTCTGATCGATTCTGAATCCCTGACAGAGAAAGGGGGCTTGGGACTAAGGAAAAAGCTCTCACGTGGAAAATCAGACTGAAAAAAGAGAAACGGATATAAGTCTAATTAAAACGTTTTCTACTTTAATGAGGAGCAGGTCGATAAAGTCCTGTTTCTCTTACACTTGTATTGATTTCAGTATTAAATGTGTAAAAGGAATAACAGCTGCTATCCGGTGTGTGTTTTTGGACTGCAGCAAACATCATAAACGCCTCTTTGACACCTGAAAACTGTCGCCTGCCTCGGATAATTCGAGGCATTTAAAACTTATTCCCACCCCAGCCTCTCTGTCCGGTCCGGTTTCGCAGGTTTCCCCGTAAAGGTTTAAGCTCCCCGGCAGGACTGGCGTTAACCAGGTAGTCCCGTCAGTGACCCACCTTCAGCGGCGGCTCCAGCAGCTTGTGGATCCCGGCGATCTGCTCGCTGAGCGGCAGGTTCTCTTCCAGGTTCACCGTCGGAGGTCTCCGAGGTTCGGGGAAGTTTGTGCAGATAAACGGATCCGAGTCCTCCAAGTACTGGACCCGGCAGACGATGGAGGCCATGGCCATGCGCCCGTGATCCGACTGCGGCTGTAAAAGTGCGAGCTGTCGGCGAAGGTCCGTCCTCCGCTGGAAGCAACTTTAAATGAGAGGAGAAAGTTTCAGCTCCAGATATAAAGCCGCCACACTCACTTCCGGCGCCTTCAAAGTAAAACTAAAGTGTAAAAGAAAAAGACATGATTCAAAAGAACACTTTATTGATGATGAGATTATTTCTTATTTATTTCTTATTTTCATCAGATCTGGATTAGGTTATAGGTCATATTTCTTAGTGCATATCAGTGAACTCACCCTCCAATCTGCTCAGATCACCCAAAGTTACCCTTATGAGATCACACTAAAAGACCACGTTTTTTTACTTAGATTGAGGCATTTGAATGGTACTTTTATTCTAATTAAAATTATACACAAAGGTCTGACAAAGTATACTTCAAGATAATCAGATAGCAATACAATACCCACTTCAGGAAAATCCTAATCTCAGTATTCACTGACCGTTAGTTGGACTAGTCACTGATAACTTGTGTTCTTGTTTGCAGCAAATGCTGCATTTTTTATGCAGACTGGTGGTTTTTGGTGTCAACCAGAAAATAGTCCACCAGGCTGTGCCAGAGACCATCATAAGGTTTAGGATGTCACTGCGGGGTGGCACGCTCTCTGTGCGATTGGCTCAGTCTGTCATGAAAGTGATGGCGAGGACTGAACGTCTATGATCGGTCGGTATTTAGACAAGCACAGAGGTTCTGTCAGATTGATCACATGTCCTCTATGCTGAGTATGAGCCGAGTATTGGCTTCTGTATGTGGCAGAACATACGGTGAACTGCTTTTAAACTTCATTCATGTTAGTCAAGCTTTTCAGCAAGTTTTTAAAAGTTATCTGCACATTAAAAAATGTTTATTGATTCTTTGTGAAGGCAGGTTATGTGACAGAAGCTGAGCACATGTGGTATTGTAGTTTATGTTGGTTGCATATAAGAAAACATATGTAACCAATCAAACTGTCACGGGCAGAGCTGATGGATGAGCATGCAGCTCCTGGAGCCTCGGGGTGCAGTGTGTTAGGCTGCTAATCCAGATTTTGCGGCGAACTTTTATTTACTAACCGCTCCATCCTCACGAGGCCCGTCAGCAGAGCCGTTTGTTGATCAGCAGCGTCCTCTGGTGGATGACTGACTGTAGTACAAAGATTTTCAATGACACATTAATGCTTGTTGTTCTTCTAGCCAGCTTAAAGAGTGATGCCGAAAAGTGTCATTAGGAAATTAAAAAAATATACACCTGCAAACACCTGCGCTTTTTCTCTGTCATAAACACTGCTTAAATCCCCACAAAGAACTTGGACTCACTTTCTTAACCCCTAGGGATACAGATGTATAAATGTTCAAATATCAAATACTTCAGCAAAAAAAAAAAAAAAAACAACATGACAGAAAAAATAAAAATAAAAGAAATATCCTTTCAGAATATTTCTTTTTACATTTCATGTGGCTGAAGTTAATGCAAAAAAAAAAAAAAAAAATCAAAAAAAAAAAAATCAGAATACTTTATTAATCCCTAAGGAAATGATGTAAAGCTACACACAACCTACATATGCACACTGTCATAGTCAATCTGACATCCCAGGTATAATCTTACCATAATCATTGTAGCATAAATATGTATGTCTGTTCCCTAACTCCTGCTAGAGGCATCAATCAAGCTGGATTAAACTTTATCAACATCTATGAAGCTTTTAGGAATTATTTTTATGTCACTCACATGCTTACAAGTTATATAAATTATGTGCAGTAGCTGATCTTAAAACAAATGGCAACATTACATCTATGTTAAGCAGTTTTTAGCGCAATGGGACTTTGAGACAATTGTGACTAAATGTCAGACAGTGATGCTAACAGTGCCTGTAACCCATCACTTTGTCTTATACAGTGAGTATGTAGATGAAGAGAAGAAGAACAATAAATACATGTTTATTATTCATTTATTTGCTGTTTATGAACAGAAATTTTCATCACCTGATCATATACAGTATTATAATGAAAATAAAAGAAATAAATTATAAATGATAATATATGTCCATCTTTTTATACATGAGCAAAGCAAAGAAGCACTGCTGGCCTGGCAAACACACAGGGTGCTTCTTGTATGATACAATGATATCATGGGTATAATTACAGTTTATCCTTCCATGGTGGAATTCACATGGTTGGCTCTACATTGTCTACATTTTGCACTGCAGCACTCATAGTTTTATGCGTTTCTTCCGATTCTTATATCAGTGACTGATGGGTGGAGCTCTACTTGACACACCACATCCCAGTAACATGGAACAGTGAGAGACTCTATGCACAAACTGCTGCTGCTTCGACCTCTGTGGATCTGTGGACTCAGTTCATCTTCTCTCAGCACATGCATTACCCCATTTACCAAAATGGCAGCCATCTGTGGAGAGAAAAAGAAACACTGAATAAGTGTTTATGTGCAGCACATCCAGTATAAAATACAGCAGAGGTTCAGATCTCTTCAGAGCAGCAGTGGAGAGGCTGTGCAGTGTAGCTAGCGCTCTCTTAGTTCTTCATGTTAACATGTTGGTGTGAACATGCTGAGCTTGAGGCTCACAGACCTGCAGATGCTTTTAGCATCAAGTCTAATCAACTGAGCACCCCACAGGCTTCATTACTGCAGAAATTTGTTAGGGCCAGCAGCCCCCGGTGGCACCTCCTCTCTCCATGCTGGTCCTCGGGGATTCCATTGTCAGGAACGTGCGGATGAGGGGGGCGCTCACGCTGTCGTTCCCGGGAGCCACCGTTGTTGACATAGTGGACAGAATTCACAACATCCTGGCGTCCCACCCACAGGCCAACCGGCTCATCATCCACATCGGCACCAATGACATCCCCAAACAGCAATCTGAGCTGCTGAAGTTGGACTTCCTCCAACTCTTCAGCCTCCTTGGTCAGTTGCAGGTGAGTGCTTTTATCTCCGGGCCCACCCCCACAGAGGGATAGGCAGTTTCAGCCGGCTGCTCAGCCTTAACACCTGGCTTTCCTCTGCCTGTGTCTCCCACGGTGTGGGTTTTATTAACAATTTTGATGCCTTCTGGGAGAGGAGGCATCTTTTTGGGGCAGACGGGCTCCACCTCAACGCCTGGGGACGCTGTTTGCTGTCCGCCAATTTGGCATTTGGCGTACAGCACTCCCACACACGGCCCTGTCATTACCCCAAACTGACATTTCCTGCTGATCTGTCCACCACTGACTGATGTCCCCTGGTCCCAGTCCTATATTTGTTCCGCTTTTAACAGTAATACACAAAACTCTGGACTTGGACCTCTCTCGGACACAACAAAAGCAACTGTCTGGTTATCAACTTAAACACAAGACCACAGCAAGCTTCTGGTTGAATGTGACTGCTTGACATAAGTTATTATCACTGTTCTCCTCTCAGTTGTACTCATGAAAGCCTGCAGGTTTACAGGAAATGCCGAAGGGTTGATACTAACTTCAGTTCAGTGTTCCTGAAAACCGCGTGGACCGACTACCATCGTTTACTGACCTCAGAATCTCCAGTAAACAATGCGGACTCTTCATGAGATTAGACAGCTGCTTAACTCCTGAATCCTCCAGGATGTTGTGACCCAGGTCCAGATGTCTCAGATGGGAGGGGTTGGACTTCAAAGATGAGCCCAGATAAGAACAACTGGTTTCCGACAATTCACAGCCCCTTAATCTGAGTAAAGAATAAAATGTGGAGATAAAATAATTGATAATCCAACCAGATGTGTTCAGGTTCTAAATGTGCAGCTCAAGAATAATTATTCCTAACCAATAAGCTTTTTTTTTCTAGCTTTCTGTAATTATGGACTGTTATCTTATCAGCTTCTATCCACTTAATCCAGATGTCCTTACATAAGGATAATGGATGCAACAGATAAAAAAGTAAACTGACCTCAGAGTTTCAAGCCTACAGTGTGAACTCTCCACAAGGCTAGCAAGCTGTTTCACTCCTGAATCCTGCAGCTTGTTGTCACTCGTGTCCAGATGTTTCAGATGGGAGGTGTTGGACTTCAGAGCTGAGACTTCATATCATATTCATCCTAGTGTACAACTAAAACATGGTGTCTAACCTCAGAGTCTCCAGTCTGCATTGTGGACTCTTGAGAAAACCACACAGGTGCTTCACTCCCGTCCAGAAGCTTCAGATAGGAGTGGATTGCATTCAGAGCTTCAGCCAGGGAAGAACAGCTGGTCCTTGACAAATTGCACCGAATCAGTCTGAATAAGAAAAAAAATTATATACATTAAAATCACAGATAATTTGATCCAGGGTTTTCAGGTTTTACATGTGCATATTTACAGCATTACTGTAGTGACCCAAATCAAACTCTTCATCAAATGGCCACTGAACCTTTATTATGCCAAGTACATTTTCCAAACTAAATTTGGAAGGAAGTGTATGAACAAACAAATAAAAGCTGGCTCTGGGTCAGTTCCATTCAAAGAAAATAAACAACATAGGCCCATAGGTCCCCAACTGGTTGTGGCAGATGGCCGCCCCTCCCTGAGCCTGGTTTCTTCCTGTTAAAAGGGAGTTCTTCCTTCCCACTCTTGCCAAAGAGCTTGCACAAAGGAGGTCATATGATTGTTGGGGTTTTCTCTGTTTTCTTTGTATTATTGTAGCGTCTTTACCTTACAATATAAAATTCTGCAAGGCAACTGTTGTTGTGATTTGCCTCTATATAAACAAACAAAATGGAACTGAATTGAACTGAATCAATTATGACTTAAAATTAGGGCATCCACTGTGTAAGACATTTTTTGCATTGCTCTTCTGAGTATTATTTGAAGTATCACAATAATAGTATACTGGGATGCCAACCTTGCAAGAGTATGGAAAAAAAGGAAAACAATAAAACAGTCGAGGTGACAAAGCTCAGTGTGTAAAGCAGTAGTATGAAAGGTCGTGAAAACAGACACTATACTGGCTGCAATGAACATCTTAAAGGAGTTTTTCATTAAAAAAAATATCAGGATTATGGCACCATAGCAGAAATGAAAAAGGAGAT